TTTTTTTATTTATTTATAAATACAGCACATTGTGTTCTGCATCCTGATTGGCTCTAGATCATTGTCAAACAATCTCGTGCCATGTTTCCTGTACAGTAAAGAATGCATTCAGCTTCAAATTTACATAAATCTTGGATCGCAGCAGTGTGACTCTGAAGTGCAGCACTGAATGTTTATAAGCTTTCTCCCCAACAAACACAACAATGTCGATGAAACGTTGTCACCTGCGTGGTTTGAACTTTGAGAGTTTAAACAAGAGAGAAAAGTGTATAAAGTGTGTAGTGAGGGGTTTACAGCCTTAAAACATCTATAATAGTTATAATAAAGTTGGCTACTTCGCAGGTTTCACCGATCGCGGGTTATTTTTAAAACATAACTCCGGTGATAAATGAGGGACCGCTGTATATGCTTTAAATAATCATTAAGATGCTTTTCTGCACTAACAGGCGAGCACAGGAAACATTTGTGGCACCTTCACACTAATATGAAGGCTGTGAAGCGACTCACTGAGTGCAGCAGAGCCACCACAAACACATTTAACTCATTCAAAGCTCAGAGCCAGAAGCTTCAGGATCAAAGCAGTTAAACGATGGAAAGAGGCCGTGTCCTGTCACCTGATGAAGTTGTTAACAAGCTGGAAAAATGATGAGAATAACCGACATTTGTGTTGTTATATCAACCTGCTGCACCTGCTCTGGCAAGGTAAAAAAAAAAGCAGCCATACACAAATTCATTTTCATGAAATTATTGGGGAAATTGTAAAGTTTAGTAATTTATTTAATTATAACAATGATATTATGCACTGAAGAAGATTGTTTTTTGTTTGTATACAGTGTCAATTCATTTATTTTGGACAAAGGTCAGCGTGTGTTGCCCTTGAGCATGAGTAACTCTGGGTTAGTCAATGACCCATACACCCTCCTGCACCCCTCGCTGTCAGCTGCACTGTGTGTACTTCCTGCTGAATACCTACATAGTTGGTGGCCCACAGAGCTTTAAGTTTCAGGTAGCGTTGGAGGCGGTTCCCCAGATTCGACTCAAACTCATTGGCCAGGTCTGACATGCGTTTAAACTCCGGGTCCGTCAGCAGAGGGCGCACCGACTCCAAGTACTGATAACAGCAAACATTCAGACAACATGATAAGGATGGGGAGAGAAAACAAACTTAAATGCGCCACCATGTGTTCAGGTGTATGTTCACACTCACCCTGATCACTGTGTCTTGGATGGCTGGAACGGGAAGGTGAGGTAGAGACGACTGATAGCTGTACAGCAAAGGCTTCCTGCTTGACAGCAACCTCACCAGAGGCTGAAAGAAGAGGTCAAAGAGGGCAGACTGTTTTAGACGGTCATTACAGACAGCGTGTTTTCAATAAGAAAATGTAATCTTATCCCTAAAAGAGATAAAACCCTCAGTCTTTGACTATTAGAGAGGGCTGGGTGCGATCTTTATCCCAGGAGGAGGTTTAATGACAATGAAAATAAAGTTTCTTT